TATTATTATAACATGTTTATTGTAATCTACGTGTCAAAATCTATTGACAACAGAAAAACATGCCTTTATTTCATGCTTTCCAGTGTTTTATTGTAAAATATCAGATGATTATATTCTGATAAACCACTAGTGAAATTTATGAAATATAATTTTCACTGTAGCCGGACTATATCTGAATGCGGATGAAAAGAAAATCAAAACTAAATGAAATAACTGGCAGAAATACATGCTTTCATGCGTAAATTTTGCTTCATTAGGAAAAGAAAGTCGATGTCATCATACATCATGTTAAAAATGTAACAAAATTAGAGAAATCTGCTTAATGCTTTTTTTATTTATGAAAATGACTTCAAAATTCATAAGTCATCATTGTAAGAATTTCAATCAGATTGGCGCTTGACCGAACGCCGAGTTACCATCTTGTCTGGTAACGATCTGGTCGTGCTCTGCAGGATACGGGTTAAAGTATTATGATGGTTTGTTAAGACAAGCAGACGTCAGGCTAATATGTTTGTTTTCAGTCCGATAACTAGGATATTATGAAAACTCCTAATTATTAATTAACATTGTCCTATATTTATGACACTTCACGGAACGTTGAACTACGTTCGTTATTTTATATGGAATTTCATGCATTGAGTGATTCAAACAATCGTTTTATAACAAAAACTTGTAAAACATCAAATGACACAATACAAAAGATATTTTAATGTATTAGCGATAAATATTTGCACACGAGTATAACTGACATATTTGTCAACAAAATTAGATAGGGATATTCTATCTACATCATCAGTGAAAAGGGCGACAGAAATTACCGACCGCGTTACGGAAAAAAAACACCTTGTAAATCATAAGGACAACAGAAAAACATGTTTATTCTTGGCCATAGACCTTTAAGTTCATTAATAATTATAACGTTCATTGATAAAGAGTGAAGCATGATGCCACGCAATAATAAAGTAATTATAAAAATAAGTAAAGTATTTATTGATTCCTTCAACATCATAAAGATCTCTGCTTAAACAACCTCACGTTCTGGCTCCCTTAGAGGCTATTTTGGGATGATTTACTCTTTCACTAGAGCGCACGTCCTTAGTTGTTACACTGTTCTATCATTAAATAATGAGAATACTACAGACTACTTCAAAAGTACTTTTCATAGTTTACTCAATAAACTCAAAGCTGAATGTAGTTCAATATTCAGTCATGCTTTGTTTTGTTTTCGTTCCACATCATTTAAGTCAAACTGTATTTTATAGTGAGATTATGTAAACCGTTGGAAAGGATTTTTTTTTCTTTTGTTTCGTTTTTTCTTCAAAATAATCCATCATTCTTTTAATGATTATTGACGAGTAAATATTATTTTGGAACATACATTTAAGAAGAAGAAGAAGAAGAAGAAGAAGAAGAAGAAAAAGATTAAATTCACTTTAACGCATGTAAATACTTTTAGGCACACACTGACCATTACAAGTTATTAATTCTTAGTTATTCTCTACGGTTATCTTGACTCTTTGATTTTTCCGATGCGCGATAAGTGGAATGAAAATCATATATATTCAATTCACCAGCACATGGGCTTTACGAATACAGTCGGGATTATTGTAAATATTTTGTGCAATTTTGAAAATGGATTTTTTTATGTGTAACAGTATATTTTGGATTCTGAATATATGTTTCATTGACTGCATATTGGCCACTACCATTCAAGACTTCCAATTGAAACGGGAAAATTTAAACAAACGTCTTGTGTCATGTACATTTCTTGAACTAACCGTTCAAAGTCACCATGATTGTGCACGCGCGTGTTTTGGTTTTGGCGGGTCATGTAAGTCTATAAATTTCAACAAGAAAAGTAAAATATGTGAACTGAACGCTAAAGGTGTTGATACCGCGGAGGACTCCGAGTTTGAAGACAGCGGAGGATACATATTTTCTGATATGACTGAGTGGCCAAAGGTTTGTGTTTTTGGTGATAGCGTTTTTATTCGCCGTATGCCATATATGTTTATATCCTGTAAATGTCACGTGGCGACTTTGAAACTAGTGATGAATTCACGTGGCGACTTTGAAACTAGTGATGAATTCCCTCAAGACTATAAGAATCTTACACCGGCTGCCGGTACAGACCGGAATATCTAGCTCGAGAGTAACTGTTTGCAGCGGTAACGAGGCTCTGCCGAGTTTCCGCTAAACAGTTACCCGAGAGCTAGATATTCCCGTCTGTACCAACAGCCGGTGTTTGATTCTTTTTCTTGCATATTACATGTCAATTATTTTCGGAACTGAAATCATGAACACTGATATTCTCATTACGCACTTTTTTCTTATAGTAGCGTATGAACATACAACTTTATTCATAACGGAAAAATTACGTCATCCTAAGAACGCGATTCATTCATAAAAGGCGCGCGTCAATGATGTCATTTAAAGCACGCGACTTGTCTTACATGGGGGTGTAAGACAGAGTTTTCTAGCACCGGCTTAAACAGTTACCCGAGAGCTAGATATTCCCGTCTTTACCAACAGCCGGTGTTTGATTCTTTTTCTTGCATATTACATGTCAATTATTTTCGGAACTGAAATCATGAAAACTGATATTCTCATTACGCACTTTTTTCTTATTGTAGCGTATGAACATACAACTTCATTCATAACGGAAAAATGACGTCATCTTAAGAACGCAATTCATTCATAAAATGCGCGCAGTAATGACGTCATTTAAAGCACGCGGGGGTGTAAGACAGGTATTTCTAGCACCGGTGTAAATGCTAGATAATCCTGTCTGATATGCAAGAAAGAGTTTTCTAGCACCAGTGTAAACGGTAGATAATCCTGTCTGATATGCAAGAAAAGGGCAGTTCTACATGGATGCCCCTTTTTAGTCACAAACGGGCATACCTGTAGAACCACCGAACTAGATATTTCCTGGCGGGATTCGAACAAGAGGTTCAAGTGATTACCCATAAACCACTCGGTCACGTAGGCGAGTGTGCGAAATATTTGTGTAAATGTGTGTACGAAATTATATTATTAATTTGATAAAAATGGAAGTGGAAGTCGTCCTTGATGATATAAGTGTGACAGTATATGAGAGTCGTCCTTGATGATATAAGTGTGACAGTATATAAGAGTCGTCCTTGATGATATAAGTGTGGTAGTATATGAGAGTCGTCATTGATGATATAAGTGTGGCAGTATATGAGAAGTGTCCTTGATGATATAAGTGTGACAGTATATGAGAGTCGTCCTTGATGATATAAGTGTGGCAGTATATGAGAGTCGTCATTGATGATATAAGTGTGACAGTATATGAGAGTCGTCCTTGATGATATAAGTGTGGCAGTATATGAGAGTCGTCCTTGATGATATAAGTGTGGCAGTATATGAGAGTCGTCATTGATGATATAAGTGTGGCAGTATATGAGAAGTGTCCTTGATGATATAAGTGTGACAGTATATGAGAGTCGTCCTTGATGATATAAGTGTGGCAGTATATAAGAGTCGTCCTTGATGATATAAGTGTGGCAGTATATGAGAGTCGTCCTTGATGATATAAGTGTGGCAGTATATGACAGTCGTCCTTGATGATATAAGTGTGACAGTATATAAGAGTCGTCCTTGATGATATAAGTGTGACAGTATATGAGAGTCGTTCTTGATGATATAAGTGTGGCAATATATGAGAGTCGTCCTTGATGATATAAGTGTGACAGTATATGAGAGTCGTCCTTGATGATATAAGTGTGACAGTATATGAGAGTCGTCCTGGATTATATAAGTGTGGCAGTATATGAGAGTTGTCCTTGATGGTGTAAGTGTCTCAATATATTATAGTCGTCCTTGATGATATAAGTGTGACAGTATATGAGAGTCTTCCTTGATGATATAAAATAAAGTGTTACAGTATATGAGAGTTGTCCTTGATGATATAAGTGTGGCGGTATATGAGAGTCGTCCTTGATGGTGTAAGTGTGGCAATATATTATAGTCGTCCTTGATGATATAAGTGTGACAGTATATGAGAGTCGTCCTTGATGGTGTAAGTGAGGCAATATATTATAGTCGTCCTTGATGATATAAGTGTGACAGTATATGAGAGTCTTCCTTGATGATATAAGTGTGACAGACTCAGTATATGAGAGTCGTCCTTGATGATATAAGTGTGACAGTATATGAGAGTCTTCTTTGATGACATAAGTGTTGTTCTATATGAGAGTCGTCCTTGATGATATAAGTGTGGCAATATATGATAGTCGTCCTTGATGATACAAGTGTGACAGTATATGAGAGACATTCTTGATGATGTAAGTGTGGCAGTATATGAGAGCCGTCCTTGATGATATAAGTGTGGCAGTATATGAGAGTCGTCCTTGATGGCATAAGTTTGGTAGTATATGAGAGTCGTCCTTGATGATATAAGTGTGGCAGTATATGAGAGCCGTCATTGATGATATAAGTGTGGCAGTATATGAGAGTCGTCCTTGATGATATAAGTGTGGCAGTATATGAGAAGTGTCATTGATGATATAAGTGTGACAATTTATGAGAGTCTTCCTTTATGATATAAGTGTGGCAGTATATGAGAGTCTTCCTTTATGATATTAGTGTGGCAGTATATGAGAGCCGTTATTGATTATATAATTGTGGCAGTATATGAGAGTCGTCCTTGATGACATAAGTGTGGCAGTATTTGAGAGCCGTCATTGATGTTATAAGTGTGGCAGTATATGAGAGTCGTCCTTTATGATATAAGTGTGGCAGTATATGAGACCGTCTTTGATGACATAATTGTGGTAGTATGATTTTTGTCCTTAGGAAAGTCAGTGTTGATGATTTGAAAGTCGCCGTAAAGATTTCAGCGAGGCACAATATGACTTCTCTCACTGAATGAATTAAGTATTTTTGTACGAATTGCTTGGCTCTATAAAAGTGTATTTTTTTTGCCATTATACCCTTTCTGAATCAGTTTCGATACATTTTTCTTTCATTTTACCAGTTAATGACAAGTGGATGTTCAAAAGAGAACTGCCATGACCATCAATTTTGCCGACCACTCGGAAAGCATGACTTCCAATGTGCAGACAAAGGTGAGATTTCGAAATTGACGCTGTTATAATTCGATTGGCCGAGTATTATAAAAAGTTGCTGAGGTTAACTTTAGTAAGGAAATTTATCGACCGCATACTTTTCTTCTCTGATATATATCATCAATATCTGAAGTTTTTCCTACAAGAAATAATTATTATGTCATTGTTATGCAAGCAGTGCTAACGTTAACATTCCTTTTTGTATTGAAAACTTAGCTATAACAGAATTTTGCATGCTAACCAGTTTTACTTCGGCCGAGTACCACTTTTAAAGATACTACTTGTTTCTTGGCTTCCTTTGTTGTTAGCTCACCTGAGCATGCTCAGGGTGAGTTTTTAGGGTCGATGATTGTCCGTCGTCCGTCGTCCGTCCGTCGTCCTTCGTCCGTCGTCTGTTCACATTTAGTTGTTAACACTCTAGCGGTCGCATTTTTTGCATGCTCAGGGTAAGTTTTTAGGATCGATGATTGTCCGTCGTCCGTCGTCCGTCCGTCGTCCTTCGTCCGTCGTCCGTTCACATTTAGTTGTTAACACTCTAGCGGTCGCATTTTTGCCTCAATCATCATCAAACTTGGTCAGTATGCTTATCTAGTTGATAGCTCGGATGAGTACGAACATGGGTCATCTCGGATGAAAAACTAGGTCACCGGACCTAAAAATAGAAAAACCTTGTTAACACTCTAGCGGTCACATTTTTGCATCGATCATCATCAAACTTGGTCAGAATGCTTATCTAGGTGATAGCTCATTTGAGTTCGAACATGGGTCATCTCGAATGAAAAGCTAGGTCACCGGAGCTAAAACTAGAAAAACCTTGTAAACACTCCAGCGGTAACATTTTTGCCTCAATCATCATCAAACTTGGTCAGTATGCTTATCTAGTTGATAGCTCGGATGAGTACGAACATGGGTCATCTCGGATGAAAAACTAGGTCACCGGAGCTAAAAATAGAAAAACCTTGTTAACACTCTAGCGGTCACATTTTTGCATCGATCATCATCAAACTTGGTCAGAATGCTTATCTAGGTGATAGCTCATTTGAGTTCGAACATGGGTCATCTCGAATGAAAAGCTAGGTCACCGGAGCTAAAACTAGAAAAACCTTGTAAACACTCCAGCGGTAACATTTTTGCCTCAATCATCATCAAACTTGGTCAGGATGCTTAACTAGTTGATAGCTCGGATGAGTTCGAACATGGGTCATCTCGAATGAAAAACTAGGTCACCGGAGCTTAAAATAGAAAAACCTTGTTAACACTCTAGCGGTCACATTTTTGCATCAATCATCATCAAACTTCGTCAAGATGCTTGTCTAGGTGATAACTTGGATGAGTTCGAACATGGATCATCTCAGATGAAAAACTAGGTCACAGTAGCTAAAAATAGAAAAATCTTGTTAACACTCTAGTGGTCACATTTTTGACACAAGTGTCATCAAACTTGATCAGGATGCTTGTCTAGGTACTAGCTCAAATGAGTTCGAACATGGGTCATCTCGGATAAAAAACTAGGTCACAGGAGCTAAAAATAGAAAAAACCTTGTTAACACTCTAGTGGTCACAATTTTGACTCAATTGTCATCAAATTTGGTCAGGAAACTTGTCTAGGTCATTGCTGGAATTAAATCGAGCATGGGTCATCTCGGATGAAAAACTACGTCACAGGAGCTAAAAATAGAAAACTCTTGTTAACACTCTAGTGGCTACTGTTGTGATCCAAATATTCTGTAAATTGGTCTGAAAGTTTGTTTTGATGATTTCTAAGTCAAGTCCGAACATGGTTCATCTTGGATGAAAAACTAGGTCACACCGCTCAAATATGGAAAAACCTTGTTAACATTCTAGTGGTCACATTTTCGACACAATTATCATCAAACTTGGTCAGGATGCTTGTCTAGGTAATTGCTCGGATGAGTTTGAAATCGCATGTGAAAGTAGGTCACCGGAGCTAAAAATAGAAAAATTTTGTTAACACTCTAGTTACTACTGTCTTGATCCAAGTATCCTAGAAATTGGTCTGAAAGTTTGTTTTGATGATTTCTAGGTCAAGTTTGAATATGGGTCACCTGGGTAAAAAACTAGGTCACACTGCTCAAATATGGATAATCCTTGTTAACAGTGTAGGGATCACATTTTTGACTCGCTTGTCATAAGACTTGGTCAGAATGCTTGTCTAGGTAATTGGATGGGTCAGGTGAGCGACCTAGGGCCATCATGGCCCTTTTGTTTTTTTTTTGTAATCGGTTGCACATTTACTACTTACTTATATATTATACTAACTTTGGCAGCAAATTGCGGAGAAGCGCCGTCTATTGACAACGGTTCCGTGTCAGCACCGGTAACTATTGATGGAGCAACCGCATCTTATACTTGTGACTTTGGTTTTGAAAATCTTGGTACCTTCACAACGAGACAATGTGTTGAAGGAACTTGGTCAAAAGAATCAATCACATGTACAATAAAAGGTAATTGCTTTTTGATCCGAAATAAATTTTAACTAGATCATGTTTGGCATAAAAAGTTTGCTATGAAATGTTAGTTAACTCTCGAGCAGGCAGTGCTTGGCTTTCAATATTGCTATACAAAATTATTTTCGAGCTGGCTCGAATATCATCTGTAACTTTAGGTCCAATTTTAAAAAAACAAAACAAATTATTTTGAAATAAAATAAGAACATTTTATTGCTTTATATACATTGTTTATTCATTTTTATTTCATGCTTTTCGGTGGTTTATAGAAATATATCAGTGATATAAAAATGGTAATTTCACTGTTTGAAACAGTGAAATTACCACTTTGATAATTTCACTGTTTTGAATTTAAGCCCCTTACTTTGTTTCAGTGAAATACAAGCGTGCACAGTACTGGGTACCAACTTAATGACGTGACGTCGTAAATGACGTCACGTTATATTATTATTTGGCGCGCTTTTCATTCAGTATTAGGTTAAATGTCTTTTTAAAACGTTTCTTTGCATATAATAAAAAAGAAAAATTGTTTACTTTAGTGTAAGATTGAAATTTATTTCACCTTGTGAACACCAAAAGTTCATATTTCACTCGTGGCTGCGCCACTCGTGAAACATACCTTTTGGTGCTCACACGGTGAAATTTATTCCGATCTTACACTGAACTAAACACATATCCTCTATACTTTTGAGTGGGGTGGGTAGGGGTGTAATGTTTGTTCGGTTCATTTTCGAAATAAGCAGCAATGCCTTATTTTTCTTCTTGTATAACATTGACTTCCTTTACATAAAAATATTAAACATCACAAAATCAAATTGAATACATATTTAATATCAGAATTACTGAGTTCAAAATTTATAGGTCACCTTTTAATAGATCATAACATTTATTTAAGGACATGAATGGTGACAACTTCCACGGCGTTTTAATTGGCAATTGTCTGCGTTCGAACTGCGCTTCCACTGCTCTTTTACGGTGATTACTCTGCGCTCTCGCGGCGCTCTCACTAAAGCTAAAAGCGCCATGCACTCTCAGAGTGGCCGCACAATATCCGTATGAGAGCAGTGGATAAACACCACGTTCATTCGGCGCTTTCGCTGCGCTCCCGTTGCATGAGTCCTTATCTTTCTGCGCTCCTATCAGAACGCCGAGTAACGGCATGCTCAAAATGTACACCGTCGGTCTGCGTTCTTTTGGTGTCGCTACGATGCTACGGCAATGCTGCGGCGATGTTTGAGATCTAACTGCGCTCATCTTGTCGTTCTGATTTTTTTTGGACGCTGTGAGAACGCCGTCCTGGTGTGACAGGGGTTTATTAAGTAATAGAAATAGCATCGAAATATGGAGGGTGATTTATGCCAAAATTACATCTTGCTTTTTTACGTTACATCGTGCTTTCTAACTTGTACATCGTGCTTTCTAACTTGTACATTATAGGGTTAACGCACGTTTTTCCGTGTTATAACGTCTGCAGAGTCCCGAGGAACGGTTGGTGCCCGAGCCCGGTAGGGCGAGGGCTCCAACAGTTCCGAGGGACTCTGCAGACTTTATAACACGAAATAAACGTGCGTTGACGCTATTATAGCATAACATTTTCAAACAGAGTCGTGATGTATAGTTTATACAAAACACAATTACATTAAATTCTTGTGCTTGGACGTTATTTATCCAATTCTATGTTTTACGTATGCGTTTCATTTTTCCGGGGCCAACAAAAATTCTCGGAACCGAACGAAATTTTGAATTTTAATTGATTTAACAAAGCTTGGCCTTTGGAGATTTATTATCTCAAGAAAAAAAAACGTTACATTACTCTACCCTCTACCCAAGACAAAATATGACCCTCAGAAATTCTTAGAATGATTTCAGATTGACGGTAGAAAAAGATCAGTGACATCAGAATCGGTTTTTCTTTTCAAGCAAACAAGTTTACAAAAAAATCAGGCACTAAGCATTATTCTCTCAAAGAAATATAAAGAGCATTTATCAACATAAACATAAATAAAAAACATTTTCTCATATTAATTTTGTGTTATCTAGTTTTGTAATTAATCGGAGTGTTAAACTGAATGACAGGTAGATTCTACTGTATTTGTTTACATTGACAACTGTCCGTTTCTTAGAAAGGGCGACAACCAAGATTAGCACCGATGTCTATACGCCGTTTTTCCGATATGCGACTGAGGCCCTCGAAACAATAAATTTCAATATAACAAGAGCGCATGACTCTTTGGCAAACAGGCCAAATCGTCATTTTTTGTTTGTATGTTTACTGGGCCCTGTATGTATTGCGCATAGGTGAAACCGGGCTATAACAAGAGCGCGTGACTATGTTAACACATGGTTTTGGTCCCGTTATAACATGGGCAAAAAAGGGAAAAATAGCCGATTTTATGCTATAATATGCATTCTGACATATACATCTTGCATTCTGACTTTTACATGTTGCTTTCTTACATGCACATTATGCTTTCTGCTGTGTGCGACTTGCTTAATTTTATGTTGATGTCGTTATTTAACGATCATTTATTATTCATTTGTTGATCTGGTATATTAATTCAATAAATTAACCTGCAACTGTTTTTATTTGGGTCTATTTACTCAGCTTGAATGACGAATGTCATAAGGTAGAATGCGCATAGCCGAAAGCCGAATGCAGCAAGCATAATACAACGCGACATCTGGTGTAATAATATGTGACACCCAAATTATGCTAACAGGTGGCGCTACAGTTATATTCTCGGTAAAGTCCGTATTGCGGTTCGGATTCAGTTTACCAAGTTACGTCCCTTTGTTTTAAAATTTCCATTTGCACTTATGGAGAAAATATACAAAATGATTTAATCAATTTTTATATTTATTCATGAAACTCTGTAGGTCAAATTATATTTCCAGCTGACAATGACAAGTTGCACATTTCCAAATCAATGGTTTTAGAATTTATTTTTATTCATCAACAAAATAATTATAAAATAGAACAGTTGTTCAATATTGTTCAAAGTTCTTTGGCCATAAAAAAACTTCTTATTAAAATATTTCATCCTCTTGAAAAGTTCTTAAATTTTGACATGGCTTATTTCCAATACCTGTGATCATTCACAACATTTTTAATGTATTTCTATTAATTAGGACATTTTTCTTGCCTATTTTCAAACTAATTTTGTACACACGTTAGATTTTTTAAATTCAACTTGTCAAAAAAATGTCTTTTTTCACTAAGTTGAAATTATTCACTAAGATGCTTTATGAATACGACCCCAGGTTCTTGTTCACAGTGTCAGCTTAAAACTGAAGGAACTGCTGCCAAAATCAGCTGATTCTGAGAAAAAAGGCAAAACTGTCTAGTCTGTCAATCTGTGAGAGTTTAGCTTTAGGACGAATGATTTCATAATATTAATTGATGACTACATAAAAACAAAATGTACAAAAAATGTCCCAAGAAATGGTTATAAAATCAAATGAATTGTTTGTCATAGAAGATATTAATAAACATTTTTTTCTACATTCTCAGTGGTGTTTGTATTGCAATATTGCGAATACTATTGCCTTAAGGTATAAAACTTTTTTGCTTTAAATGAGTAAGATCTGCTATACATTTCCAATATCATGAACGCTATAATTAAAGAAAACTACTAAAAGGGCATCTTCAGCCAAACATGCAATATTCATTTTATAACCATTTCTTGGGACCATTTTTGTACATTTTGTTTTTATGTACTAATCAATTAATATTATGAAATCATTCGTCCTAAAGCTACACCACGGCGAATATCTATATCGGTACCCTCTTTGCGAAATCTGCTCAAACGGTACTCTCTTTACACATGCACAGGTCATTCTCTGCTAAAAACAAACCAGCGATGGATAACAATCCAGTAAAATTTCAATGTAATAAGGAAAGGGGGTTTGACACGAACAAAAGATATATACCACGGAACACTAAAATGTTTTATTTATGTGCTGATTTGTCATGTACCCATTTTTCAAGTACTGCAACTTCACAATAAGCTACAAAAAATCGACATGTCTTGCCTCGCCCGTCACCTCGACATATTTTTCGGGCTGCAATGAACCGTGGGCTTGATTATATATGCATCATTCATATTTAATGTGTTCATTTACATATCATCTTCGGACAAATGCCAGTATATTGTCAAAAATAAATGTAAAATTCATAAAAACACCCTACTTTCGGTTTTGCAGCGTACCCTCATGGCACAACATATGCTTTTATTTGCGTTAATCGTACATGTAGGTATGTAATATTTCTTACTTTTATGTAAATATTACATACTTAACGATTAACGCAAATAAAAGCATATGTCGTGCCTTTTGGGTACGTATGTGTTAAAAAATGAGAGGGTGCCTGTGATATAAAAATTCAAATGAAGAGAGGTAACCCGTGCCGCTGCAAAAGAAAAAAGGCAAAACTGTCTAGTCTGACAGACTAGACAGTTTTGACATTTTATTTCATTTTCTTTCTCAGAATCAGCTGATTTTGGCAGCAGTTTCTTCAGTTTTAAGCTGACACTGTGAACAAGAACCTGGGCCGTATTCATTAAGCATATTAGTGAATAATTTCAACTTAGTGAAAAAAGACATTTTTTTGACAAGTTGAATTTAAAAAATCTAACGTGTGTACAAAATTAGTTTGAAAATAGGCAAGAAAATGTCCTAATTGATAAAAACACATTAAAAATGTTGTGGATTGTCACAGGTATTGGAAATAAGCCATGTCAAAATTTAAGAACTTTTCAAGAGTATGAAATATTTTAATAAGAAGTTTTTTATGGCCCAAGCACTTTGAACAATGTTGAACCATAGGCACTTGGTTTCGGGATAAAAAGCCTTTTGAAGGGTTTGTAGGACTCAAATTTGATTGAATGTAACGATATTACTAAAGTTTTTTTAGTAATATCGGAAAAATGTCGAATTTAGAATCGAGACATTTACGTTAAAAAATCGTTACATTCAATCAAATTTGAGTCCTACAAACC